CTGCACGTGCATTAGGTTGTTTTCTAAAGGCCTTGGAGAGGTCCCCTGGAGGGAGCACTGTAAAGGGAGTCTGCAGAGAGGGCCACCTGCCCTCCCTGGACACAGGCAACATCGGCCAGCCCATCCTGTCTTGGCTTTTGTCAGCTCGGTGCCTGGCTGCAGACACCTGCTCCTCTCAGCAGTGGAGGCCCCCAGCGGGACCTTGGCTCAGCTGTTCTCTGGGCCCCCTGCAGCAGCAGACCTTTTCACCGCGCGGCTGCCAGTCCTCCACGCAGCCACACCACGGCAAACACAACAAAGGTAGCAGGCCGGGCTGAGCCGAGCCGCGAGTCGCATCCCAGAACCTGCGATCCGGAGCAGGCCGGGCTGAGCCACGTCCATCCGGCTAACTATGGTGGCAAAAAAAACCACCATCCTCTGCTTTTCCTTCTTACAGCTCCTGCCTCAGCCACCATGTGAAAACAACCGGAATTTAAACCATGCTGATGTCGTTATTGTCGGAATCGTCAAAGCTAATCGCCTCCAGGACAATTTAGGGTGTTCCCCATTTTGGGGACAGAGCTCTGTTTTCCGAAATGCAAGCATATCGGCAGGTTCCCCTCGTTTCCCTGATGCGGAATGCAGTGCTTTGTTTTCCACTGTAATGAAAATACGACAAATAAATAACCAGCAAACTGCCCGTGTCGCCCTTGACTTAGGCACAGTGTAATTTACTGGAGAATTATGTATTTCCGCAGAAAGCGCTGACGAAGCTCGGCGCACTGTTACGGGAAACCTGATGGCTAATGTTTTCCAATTTCCATGTACACGATGCCAAGGGGGGAGGACAAATTTAAGATGACAGTGTCTTTGTGATGATGCTGACATTTATACATATGAAGACTTACGATGCAACGTGGCAAGAGGGGGCGTCACGGGGGGGGGGCTTCTGAAAACCTGAGGATGTCATGGGAGAACTCAAGCTTGGAGCATGTGTGGGTCAGGAACCACTGTGTCTCTAAAAAACTGCAGAAAACACCAATGAGGATGAGCTGGAATAGTAGGGGGCTGAATGCAGCCCTGTCAGTTGGGGATTTCTGCAGAGGTAAATGCGAAGAGGCTAAAAGTTGGGGCTGACTGTCCTGGTGGTCGATTCATGGGGGAGATGTTCTTCCTCTGCGTGACGAGCGGGCGGACGCCTGCTCCTCTGGGCCAGGGACGCGCGATGCTCTTGCAGCTGTGTGACCGCTGATTGACCTGTGGGATAAACACCATGTTCATGTGCCGCTTCCCCGAAATTGAAGACGGCTCTGCAGGCAGAATCATCCGGGCCTGGATGAGCTGGAGGATGTGGCCATGAGCGCTGGGCCGCTGGGGAGGGCTGCGGCGCATCTCCTTACGGTGGCTCCACCAGCGTCTTGTGTGATGGGGTCAGAAATACACTCAGATCCCTGACTCATGCTGCTTGGACCCCCATGTGTCCTGTGGTCACATGATACACCTCCATCACGCGGGCAGGTGGGCCGCCTCCGCTCGGCCTGCTTCCGCTGACGTGCTCCTTTGTGACGCGTGCAGCACTTCCTGGCTCCCGCCGGCTCGGCCGGCCCTCTTTCAGGGGACGGTAGCGCTGCACCTGCCTACAGAGCCGTGCAGCCCCGGCTGCAGATGAACTCATTTCCTGGGCTACATTAGCTGGAGAAACACGGCAATCAAGGACGGGGGAGGCGCAGGCAACGGCAGATGGGGGGAGCTAATCATTTTCGCATAGATAGAAATGACCCTCGCAAGCTGTGGCGTGCCAGTGGACACCTGCCAACGGCATGGCGGCTCCCGTTCCTCGCTTTCTGCTTCTGTTTATTGTCATAATGATTTAATCGAGCATAAGAAAATCTCCTGATCATTGTGATGGCTCTGGTGAAAGCCTCAAAAAAAAAATAAAAGCCAGTGATTTCTAATTATTGTTATTATTATTATTATTACTACTATTCTACAATGCCAATTATTTGTGTATTACAGAGATTTTCATAAAAATGTCTTAATTCCTTATTAAAAATCGAAATGGATATTTATGCACCCAGCTTTGTGTTTTGTAAGTAGCTCGCTGATTTCTGTGGTTGTCCTTCACGTTTCCGGCATCGCTGCCTTTGTTACGGCTGTGTAATTTTGTGAGGAAGTCGCAAAACATCAAAAGCGCTCATGTTTATCTCGGAGGGGGCGACTGTATTATTGACATGCAATATATGTAGGAAAATTGGTGTCCTGACCGACGAAACCCTACTTTGGTTTTTTGGTTTTTGATCATTTGAAATCCTTCCTAATTTATTCAGCGGAAGGTCAGGTCACCTCCAGCTTCCTCACCTTTCGGTATCTGACGTGGTCTGGACACTGGCTTCTGCTCCCTCTACCACAAACAGGTCATGGGCCTGATTTGTTATCTCTTATTACAATACATTTGCTAAGTGCGGCATCCAGCTCATCACAAACAAACATGGCGTGGGGCTATTTCTTCATGAAGAATAATGGCCATTAATCATTCCTGCACACTGTGCTCACTACCTGGTTACCTGGTTCACGACTCCGTAGGTATATTTTTAGGTCTGTTCACGTCACGTCACAGTTTGGATTTACATTGACATTGTGCGGTGGTGTATTTCTGTTTTTAGTATTTTTGCTTATTTATGAATAACACACGCCAAATTGCTACACGGCCTTCAGTTTATGGTCATGATAAAACGAGCCTATTTTAATACAACTGTGCCTCCTTTAGCTTTGTTTTAGCAATACCAATAAATTCCTTCACTGAGTGCTTTGACTCTTGGAGAAGGTTTACCACAGTAAAATGATTAAACTGCAGGGATCCCTGTGTGAGGCTAATTTGGAATAAACTACAGTAAAGTGCTCGATTAAACTAAAAACGAGAGGCACCAGGCAGCTAAGCATGCTATTTGCTGTATAGCGATGTATATCTTAGCATTAGAGCACAACATGATGTCAGGAACCAAGTTGTCCACTGACCGGTTGCGTAGAAGTCTTTTAAATCACCTTTTTTTATCGGCCTGCATTTCTCATTCCGGAAAACACTGCCAGGAATGCAATGGCTGGAAGGAAATACTTCATGGTTGCTAATGGATCCCTATGCTTCCAGGCACGTGTGCTGTTTCAGTAGCCTGCCCCGCTATCAGCACCAAAGAAATTCTATTAAACAAATAACAATATCCATCTGATTTAGATGGATTTGCAAATCATTAAGCACAGTTTAGTCCAACACAAAGAAAAGTTATGACGACGTAGGGGAGACAAAATATTAGCCATGCTACTGCGTCAGGGGCTACCCTCTTAATTTACTTCTCCAATAAATCAGCAAACCGCAGTCTGGAAAATGCTGCGTTTGCATGACCAAGGCATGAGACAGAATATATATGTACGTGACCTTCCAGAATCCTGATACACATAAACCTTGGCCTCCTCATGTATATTATACATCATGATGATGGTCACTGATGTGGGGGGGGGGTGGGGATGGAGGCTTCCGGAACATTTGAAGAAGCGTCACGCTCCCATTCGGCTTTATAAACATACACAGTTAGGGAAAGCCTTTGGTGCCATCAGAAATCAGATACCCACTGTCTCACATCGATTTAACGCACCAATTGAGGGGTCTCCCAACACGTTTGGTGAGTGTTTCCTTCTGCCAGTTTTTGCTTCTTTTCTAGAGGCAATGTTTTGATAGATGGATTGAAAATATATGACAAAAAAGGATTTGAATCATATTACCCACCAAGACACAAATCGTGTTCCTGTAGCTCATATACAGAAATATGGTTTTTATGCCTAGGTCTGTGTACTTGTAACATTCAATTTCCAGCAGAACTGCAACATTTTGGATCTCTAGCCTGCACCCCATCAGTCACTGCCGAAGGGCTGACACTGATTAGGGTGACACAGGGGGGCGAATCCCCACTCTGCAGGACACGGACACACACACGGGAGCTGGCAGAGAGGACACCTCTACGTCGAACCTGAAGCTTTCTGGTCATTTGGACAGAGCGAAAATGAAAATGATGCAGTACGTCCAAGGTCAACCACACCCACACACACACAGGCGCGCACACACACACACAAACACACACAGGCGCGCGCACACACACACACACACACAAACACACACACACGCGCGCAGCTAGGCTGCGCAGAAACTCCGTCACATGGTGTTAATTGACTGAACAGCTAATTACACGAGCACATTAGCCGTGAAGAAATAAACGCACGCGAACTGTGGTTATTTCACGTCCCACAGTCGTCGTAATTCTCATATTTTTTAAGACAGTTTTTAAATGAATGCATTCGTCTTTGATTTGCATGTTGCCTTACTCAAAGTGACCTAGCCCCTGGCTACATGCCTGAGTTGAGATGCCCAGGAAGAAAGGGAATGGAGCCTTCCGGACAGACAGCGGGATGCTTCGCCATCATCCGAGGATTCTTGACACAGCCTCTACATACACATGTACACACACGCACACACACACACACACACGCACACACATGCACTCACACATACACACACACACGTGCACGCACGTGCCGAACGAGCGTAGGGGTGGTGAATGAACCGAGACGCAGACGCAGAGACACTGACGAGCACGAGGGGTGCCTATACGCGTGCCCACACCCAGAGCCCCAGACGCGTGGCGAATGATATGGGCCACCTTGCTTGCACGAATCGCAGGGAGAAAAATCAGCCACAGCACCAGCGAAGAAAGAAAACAACACAACCAAAAATGCAGGACAAACAAACACACAAGAGCCAGCAACAGCCCCTGAGCAGTGTGGAGTGGAAACCAAAGTTGTCTTCCATCCTACTGACCAGCTACCCTCTTCCATCGTCTCCTCACTCATCTTTTTCTGTCCATCCTAAAGTCATGCAGGCACGAACACAAACAAACACGCACGCAGGACAACATGACAGGCAGCACATACACAGTAAACTGGCTCAACAGAGGAGTAGAATCCAGCGCCTTTACCTCGTTGCTTAACAGCGCTGCGTTGAGTGTTCTGCTGATTTCGAACATCTTGTAGTCAGACCTTTTCTTTGTTACCGTTTCTTCTTTTCTACGTATGTTTCCCCCTCTGTAACGGAAACGGGAGTCAGTCCCGGGAAAAAAAAAATGTAAAAAATGAAATAAAAAAAAATCTTCTGTGGGCTGTTTTGTTTTGGGTTTCTGTCACCCTGGTCTCCCCTCTTTTTGGTACACCTCTGTTAGATGTGGCACTAGTGCCCAAGGTTTCGGAACAGGACTGAAGAGTCAATTTTTTTAATCTCCCCAGAGTCAGCACATTAAAACAAGCAGCGGAGCTGTGGCAGCCTTGTTCCCTTATCTGTGCCCCACACACTCCCTCACACAATGCGCTCCGATCCTCACACTGCTCTCTGGCAGATTAGCTTGTCCCAAAACATAGCTCTTAGTTTAAACGGCCTCTCTCTCTCTCTCTCCGGTGCTCTCTCCCTCCCCATCGCTTTCCGTCTCTCGTTCCTTCTCGCTCGCTCGCTCGCTCTCTCTCCCGGGCGGATTCAGTTCGCTCTGCAACCACAAGGTGGGAAGGCTGCGCTACAACAATGGTGCATGAGCATCTGATGGCCTGCTCTTCCACTCTCCCCTCTGTCCTCTTCCTCGCCCTGCACCCTCGTAAAGCGGGAGCTAATATCTGGCGGCTCATTTTGGTTTTCCTTCCGTTCAAACTGGGATGTCTGTCAGACGAATGCGCCTGCTTCATGTAAACTGGTAACAGTGATACTGTAAGTGGAGTCTGACCACACGTTGATTTTCCGCGCACATTTACCGATGGCACAGTCTTTCGCGATATGACCAGAATACAATATTTATAGACCCCAAGGAATAATGAACATATGTCATATACCACATTATCTACATGGGCCTGTGACCTTGCAAGATGGCTGTGAATGACAACATTTATTCTTTAAAAATTCTCGTCATTTAATCATTTTTGCTTAGGTTATGTGTGGGAAGATGCGAGCAAGGACAGATCGATACCCCATTTAACAGAACCACATGCATTAACAAAATGCCGAAAAAGTGACCAATACATAAAGAAGAACCAGAGAATCCAAAATCAGAGTCAAATTGTTTTTCCAATCTTGGTCCATCGAAGACAGCCTGCCTTTGTTGCACTTATCAGTGTAGAACCTAAAATGCCTGTATGCTTTCATCCACTTAATGTCTTTAAACATTGAGTTCCAATGAAATTTCCCCCGTGGGAAGAATCTGCTCTTTCTATAAAATATCTCTGATATCTTTATTGTTACATTTATGATCGCTTATGCCTTTGAATCTCTTTAAACTCAATGTGGCTTTTCATTAACTTAATTAAACAAGTAGGAATAACTTAGATTAAAATTGCAAATTCTTTACACAAGTAAATTTTGAACTGAGTTGAGTATTATTGCAAATCTTTTGTAGGCATCTTATTGTCCAAGGGCTTTGGAAATGGCTTAAATTTAATAGTGTCTGTTTCAGTGTGACCATATACCCCATATACTTCCCTTCAGTTTTTAATGTTGGTGTCGGAATGCTCTTAAATTACCGATTCTGTTGAAATGCAGATAATGCAGAATATTTTATCATATGCTAATTTATTACTATCAAACTTAATAATACAGAAATTAAGGAAATTCTATGCAGCAAAATCATCTTTTGGACAAATTGAGTCTAAAATTAACATTTATAAAGTTCAATAGGACAGAACACCTTTGAATTTCTTTTACATAAAGTGTTACCAAAGTTTTATGTGTTCAGCTAATGCAGTGCTCAGTGTCTTTGTTGTACTCATTAAAAATAAGCAAAATAAATTTAATCAAATAAGCACTGAAATAACTGTAAACTTGTGTGTGTATGTCTGTCTATGAGTATATTTATATGGCAGGGTTCTTCAAATCTGGACCTCGATTCCAAATCCAGGTCTTGTTTTCAGTTCTCCCAGGTAGTTAGTTTAATAATTACTGATTCTGATTGGTCAGAGGCTTCACACCTGACTGACAGGTACAATAAAAGAAGGCTGGAAAACCAGCAGTGCTCGGACCTCGAGGACCATGATTTGAATAACCATGATATATGGCATCAACCATATATATGAAAAGGTAAGACTACTCTTTTTTGTAATAGACATATTGGGTGCCACAAATGTTAAAATGGATTCCAGTTGGCAAATCATTTACGGTGTGTTTACTTCCTTGATGTCCTGGCATCCATTTATAGATCCTTCAGATATTTTGGTTTCAGTCATTGATCTGCTGTATTCAGCTCAAATCGCAAATGTTGAGCTGGATTCAGGTCCGCAGATAAAGATGGATGGTCCTGAGCACTGATTGTATAGTCAGCCAGCCACTCCTTGGTTGATTTTGATGTATGTCCTGGATCATCATCTTGCTGGAAGGTTCATTTGTGGGCAAGATCCAGCCTCCTGGCAGAGCGAAGAACGTGTTTGGACAGAATGTCCCAGTACTTGCCCAAGTTCATGACTCTATCTATCTTAACAACGACCCCAGGACATGTGACAGGAAAATAACCCCATAACATCGCCCCCCTCCGTATTTTACAGTATATCCTGCAAGCTTTATCTTCCTGTAGCCAAATAAAACGTGCTTGTGAAAAATCCAAAAAATACGATTTTATTTCCTCAGTCCATAACAAACCATTTGAGTTATAAAGCTAAATGTAGTTTAATAAAATTTAAGTCACCTTTTTATTCAACAGAAAATGTAGTTCAATATTTGTTTTGTTTTTCAAGGGTATGAATACAAAAGGAGAAAACTCAATTCATTAACAAAGTTCATTGTAAACTAAACAAATGATGTATTTTGCTCTAAACAAAAAGTGTGTAATAGGGCCACTGTAATCAGCTGCATGGAAATCATTTTGCTTTTTTTAAGGAGGGGGGGGGGTAAATTATTATTCAGTGAGGTAATCCAAGGCAGTATCACAGACTAGAAAGCATTAATTGAAATCTTTAGACATAACAGCTACACAAAGATCAAAAACATCAACCGTAAATATAGTAATACTGAGTCATTAGTCATTAATGTCTATAATGCTTATGAGTTTTTGACATTTTCTGAAATTTATTTATATTGAAGAAAAACACGTTAAATTGCACCAAATCAAGCTAAGTATTTGTAGAGAATGTTTATTATTTGTATTTACTGTATTATGTAAGGTATTGGTCCCCAGTGACCCAATTAACAGTTACCTTTGCAGCCCGGTTCTGCATTACATAAAACCATGTTTTGTTGTTGCTTGCACTGCATTATCAAGGCATTTTAAAGAATCATTGAAAGGAATATCTTGTGTGATATGATAACATTTCGCACAAGCTTGTGACCTAGCCAGCTCTTCACACACAAATTCTAGGACATCAGTCCCTTTTTCCAAGAGCAGATGGCTTCAGAAATCTTTCTCATGTACTGCTTTAAAGCTATCTGAGATGCTGATGGTTACCTCGCAGCTCCTGGTTTAGAGCCCCAGCTGGCTCTGTAGGTTCTCTCCTAGTGTATCTGTATGGCTTTCCATCCAAGTCCTAGTCGTAATGTGTAACCAGAAGAGCAAATGGCTTTGTGGCCCAGGGTCGTTACTGTAAATGAGGCTTACACTTAAATGACCTCGGTGTTGTCACATTAAACATGACAAAAAATGTTGCCGTTCACAAGCTGCATATTTGTGGAATGTGTTTGATTCTCTTATCATGAAATAGCTCACAGGAACATGCTTACAGTCCCATCCAGCAATTGACAGTCAACTATTGACAATATGTGTAAATAGCATATGGCCAGAAATTTCTGGTGGGCAACTTGTCATAATTTCATTTCATGAGCATCTAAACACACTTATGGGCTACATTTGCAATGCACATTTTCTGAGTTATAGCCCAAAGAGCCTTGGGAGGAATCTTGGCGCTGGCGTTGGCATGCAGTCCTTGGCCTGCAGTCTGTTGGAGGCTTCACGCTTGGCCTTATAGGCTGCTGATTTACCCATTAGCGCATCTTACACCAGGATCAGTGGTAGATGTTCGGTGGAAGTGGGATGCCATTTCAGCAGAGGCCACAGTGGTTCCTGAGTCTATTTTTAAAGCTCCCTGGGAAAGAATCTGGTTTGCCTAGACTTAATTAGATGGATAAGGATGATGCAAATGCTTCCCGTCCAATCCAACATTAAAGACTTCAATATAGACTTACCCTTTAAAGTTGCATTTAAACTGTTTGCATTTAAATGTACCATTGTAGATGACACTGAATACAATGTGAGCCTGTACCAGATAAGCATCTAACGGCATCCATTCTTTAGAAGCAGCTGTATTACTGCTAATGCTTTGGGAATTAAATCTTTAGCATGACCATGGTAAGGAACGTTTCCGAATAATAAAAAAAAACTCTTGCTACAACCATTCAGCCCATCTGCATTATTTTCAGTTTGACATTTTCTTTGGCAATTTTCTTCTCTCTCAGGGGTCCTTTAAATAAGAAACAAAACACTGCACATTCAGACATAAAGGGCTGCATTTATAACAGATCTTTGGCCTTTTAAACTTTTAAGTCATTCGCAGCATTTTTTGTTTTGGTGCTTACAATGTAAAATTCTAGACAGCTACAATTTAATTAAGGAAAACAACTATTTACACTCTTCTCCAACACAAAGACTTTTCTGTCGTCCATCCATCCATCCATCCATCTTATCCATCTTATCCATTTTACATTCCACTTGTCCATTTCAGGGTCCTTGCCAAATGACCTCCCAGGGATGCCTCTCATGCTTATCAGAAGCAGAAAACATCTAGACAGGTTCCGTTTTGTTGAGCACGACCAGCAACTGATTAGCCTGCCTGTGACAAATAGAACTGTTGTTGGCCCACTTTAGGGTGCCCAGATAACCCTTGTCAGGGAGGACACTTTGCACTAGGACAGGACTTGTAAACTACCATGTTAACTGAAGAAAGATTCATCCACCTGTTTTCAGCTAACATTGGTGACATGCATGATGATTATAGGATACTGACCAATCAGCACATAGCAAGAACTCAGTGCTTAATTGAAATCCAGATGTTTTTCCTTGAAATGGTAGCTTGCAAATCCTGTTGTAGCTCAAAGTGTACTCCTTCACATAGATTATCTGGTCACCCTAGTCAAATCTTTCTCAAACCAATCCTGTGGGACCCCCAGACGGTCCATGTTTTTGCTCACTACGGGGAGTTGGGAGGGAGCAAAAACATGGACTGGTCCCTAAGTAACAGTTTGAAAAACAATGATCTAGCCCACTTGTACCTGTGATGTCATCCTTTTGCTAATGACGTCAGTCTCATGACCTGCAGGCTACGCCTCTGGTTCAGTACTACAGACCAGCAGAACACCTGCAGATGGGGGTCAACAAAGGAAGGTGGGTGTGAACGGCAAGGCAGAAATGCAGGTACTTGGTGGAGATGTAAGGGGATACCGAGGACAGA